CGTTCTGGATGGCGCCCGAGACGATGCAGTCGGCCGAGCGCTCGTGGCAGCCGGAGAGGAGCGCCTGGTATTCGGGGCTGTTCTGACCGGAGGGAAAGCCGAGGGAGGGAGGGAGAGAAGAGAAGAGGGTCAGCGCTGGGTGCCAAGCAGCCCCACCACAGGGAAGTAAGCATCATGAAGCCCCTCTCTATGGAGATTCACTACTTAAACTTCTCCCCCAGTGTACTTTTATTGTCCTTAATTTGAGAAGGGGGCATCATGAAGCCCCCCTCTCTAGCGGTCACTCCCCTCTTCTTCTCCCCCAAAGTCCTTAGTGTGCCTTTATGACCCTTTCCTTTGAGAAGGGAGCACCCCACGAGGCTTCTCTCCACCTCAAGATGCCTTTTTGCACAGTGTTGCAACCCAGAGCAGGAAACGAGACCCTAAGACAACCATCCACCACACTTGACTGTGGGAAAAACAATCCCTTTTTATTGATGAAAAATGGTTACAAAATAGAGGAAAATGCAAAGTCAAAAAGCCACAGTAAAAATCAGCAATCACAAATATCCATGAACTAGATCAAAAACCAAAAGCAACACTGTAAAATCCTGGAACCTGTTAGCAATCCACTAACCGTACTTGGAGCACTAGAAGCCTCTTGGGATGAAGGCCACGGGAAACGGGAGATCTGCCAAGGTAATGCCTCAGTCTAAAACGATGCCTGATCTAAAGAGTCAACCCGGCGAGAGGCACTTAAAGCCGAGGAAACTGTTTCGTGACACGCCTCCAGGCTTTGAAGCCCTTGTTTCTTTTTCTTTTAATCTGCTTGACCTTCGCAGACTCTGCGATTCACTCCTGTTTCTCCAGATCTGTCCTCTTCTATCCTCATTAAGGATCCCAGGTGTTAACCTCTCTGGAGAGCTATCACCGCTTGACCCTGAAACATTCTCAGGAGATTGTGTACTTTTCACTTCCCAACCCTTCCAAGCCTGCAGGAGTTTCTTCTACACTGACCTCAGAATCAACATTTTCATTAGCATCAGGAGCATCAGAAAATACATTTTCAGTAGCATCAGGAAATACAATCAGAGAAGCAGGTTCAGGTTCAGGTTCAGACCCAGGCTGAACCCCAACACAGAGACATTGTTGTGGCTGAGATGTTCTGTGATGATGAGGATGATGGGATTCAGATTCCTGGCTCTTTTTCTGTGCCTCAGATTTCTGGGCCTGCGAGTCCCACAGATAGTGCAGAGTCAACATCAACACAGCAGTTCTCAAGAGAAAAGAATTTTAACGAAGGAGATAGTGAACAGGTGGGGAGGCATTTGCCTCCTTCCCATGTTGATACTGAAAGTACTGAAATCCTTGATAGTGACCTGACCCAGCAAGCTTGTCTTGATTTGCGGGTCAGGCAGAGTTCTTGTTTGGCTGGCAGATGAGAACCCAGCTCAGTGAAAGGTCAGCGCAATGTTTTCATGTTAGAAAGGTATTTAGGCTTCTTGCAAGCCAAGGGAAAGCGTCAGTTCAACATAGCTTATTAGCCTGGAAGCTTCATCGAATAACCTTAGCCTGGAAAGCAGTACGCTTGGGATTTCTTGCATTGTGATTCATGGGGCAATTGTTTCATTGCTTGTACCTGGTACTCTGGTTTGAACTTTGCTTTTACCTGAAGATCTATATTCTGCATTTAACCTTAATCTTTGGAACTTTGCAATGCTTATTCTTTATTTTGACTTGGATTTTTTCCTCAATAAACTATAAAATTACAGCTGTTGTGTGGTGGTGTTTGGGAGCAAAGTGAAGCTTACTCTGAGTTGCAACAGACATGAGACTAAGTATTAGGGACCCTTCTGCCGGTATCAGATGGCTTTCCTTTGTCTGCTGTGATTAATTTCCTAACTTTTAGGCCTTGGAAAAGCTCAGGAACTGAGGCAGGCATTTTGTGAGATGGTGCATGTAAACAGCCATCTTAGAGTACCCATTTCCTAGAGGGGGCGGAGATTAGGAGCAGCCTGGAGGGAAATGTGGAGAGCTTTGTAATTGGCTGGGAGAGAGCGCGAGCGGAGCTTAACTAGAGTGCAGGGGGAAAAAATGCCTGAAAAGGGGTGTTTTAAAATCTGACAGTTCAGTCAGGGTCTGTGTGTCAAAGAAGAGAGTCAGGGTTGGTGTGTTGAAGAAGGAGGCTAGGTTTTGGGAGAGTTAGGAGAAGAGAGGTTAGAGAAGCTACAAGTTGCTAAGTTAGTTAGAGTTTATAGATAGCTATTAGGCAGAATAGCTGGTATAGAGAAAAGGCAGATCCAAGGGAAAGGACAGTCTGGAGTTTTAGGAATACTAGTCAGAGGGAAGTCTGCTAATTTCAAGAAGGAGGGAATGAAGAATTGTTTTTGGAACTAAGTCTTGAACCGTTTTAAAGTAACCATACGCTCCAACTCATTAGTGCAACCATTAAGCTTAAGTGCCTGTATTGTTGAAGTTCACACAATAAACAATATTGTTCTTTGTTAAACAACAACTGTCTCAAGAGTGCCTCTATGTGAAAAAGTTCCATAGCAGTTTAAGGAAACAGAGTTATAAGATTGGTAGCAGCAAATATTAAGGAGACTCTCAGTGATTTTTACTTCAGAATTCAGAGCCCTGAGTGCGAATCCAGCAGAGTCCAGTTTACTTAAAGCCTCTAGCCAAACTAAAAGCTAAACATTCCTTTGAAGTGTGGTGGTAGCCAGTGTGCATACTAGAATTATCTCAACAGACAGTGTGATGGTGGCAAAGTCCCAGCAGCCTCCAAACACTTCATTGAATTTATATAATAATCTTACTGCCTACTACAGGGAAAACCAGCTGATTCCTAATCCATCTAAAACACAGACATGTGCCTTTCACCTTAAGAACAGACAAGCATCCAGAGTTCTGAGGATTATTACCTGGGAAGGAATCCCACTGGAACATTGCAGCACACCCAAATACCTGGGAGTCAATCTGGACCGTGCTCTTACCTACAAGAAGCACTGCCTGAACATAAAGCAAAAAGTGGGTGCTAGAAACAATATCATACGAACGCCGACTGGCACAACCTGGGGATCACAACCAGACACAGTGAAGACATTTGCCCTTGCGCTATGCTACTCTGCTGC